TCTGGCTGCTCTCATGGATAGATAGATGCAGTATATTATAAATGCGAGAGTGTACACAAGATTGATTATGCAGACCTTATGGGCCAAATTGGCAGTGAAGTTACTTCTCCCTCCTGATATATATGCAAGGCACTGTGAGTCATTATGGTAATTAGGGGGGTAAAGAAGGGTGTGCTTGCTCAAAGTGGGAGATGATTGGAAATGTAATCAGAAAGAGAGTTTTTGTGAGTTATGTAAACGTTGGCCAAATGTAAACTGTAAGTTATTCTGGGATTATTTGCAAATAATCTTGTCCCGCAGTATCAACTCATATATGCTCTATATAAGGTGTGTGTCCAAAACCTTCATAGCTGCAGAGACCGCCGGCCCGGAAACAATTTCTTGCGCGTTCCTCTCTGAGTCCTGTGCTCCTCTTCATGAGTACGCCGTCTCAAGTGTGGACAGAACAGGAGGGTGAGTTTCCTGCGGAGAATGAATGCAGAATTGAACTCCTATGTTAACCACCATCAACTTCAACAGTATGAACTCACAGCCCCTGGTATGGTGGTCATTCTATTCTGTCTACCTTACCCCCATTCTCTCTGAGACGACTTGTTTTGCATACTTCAACTACATGCCGTTTAGATGGGTATCACTTTAGTTTAATTATCCTCCTGATATTATTGTGTATTTCCTCTGATAAATAGAGAGGCTCTTCAACATCTCCTAAGACTGGTTAAAGAAAGACTATTACTATAAGAATGGTTGGGTATTTGTATATTAATATGGCTTTAAAAAAGTAATGATAGTCTATAATATGTGCCCCTCTGCCTTCCAAATCAAATTACAGGTGCCCCAGTTTTAATGCTTGTATGACTTCCGAAGTAGGACACCAGCTGCGAGAGAATTCTGTTTCCTGAGTTGAGAGAGATGAAAATATACAAGAGCCCAGTTTTACATGCGGTTTTGTGAAAGGTGTAAGCGTGGATTTTTCTTTTAAATTTCTGTGTTGTTACTTATTGGTTCCTAATTCTTTATAAGGCCAAAGAAATTTAAAAACGAAAAACACCAACCTCCCCTCCCCTCTCCTTTCCTTTCTTTTCTTTCTTTCTTTTTTGTAAGGTCTTGCTTTGTTGCCCAGGCTTGGAGTATAGTGATGCAATCTCGGCTCACTGTAGCCTTGCCCTCCTGGGCTCAGGTGGTCCTCCCATGTCAGCCTCCCAAAGAGCTGGGACTACAGGCACGCGCCACCATGCCCAGCTAATTTTTGTATGGGGTCTTACCATGTTGTCCAACCTGGTTGCGAACTCCTGAACTCAAGCAATCCTCCCATCTCAGCCTCTCAAAGTGCTGGGATTACAAATGCAAGGTACCACCTCCAGCCAGGAATCTGCTTAACTTTTTATGTTTGCGTTTCCATATGGGTTACTTCTTTGTGATTGAGCAGAGAAGAGTATCAGACTGCTATAGGCCTGCGAACCCTAACAGTAGTCCTTGGGGGATAGCTTCTGGGGTAACTACAAGATGTTGAAAGTGAACGCCAAGACGAGACCTAGCATTATCAAAGGACACACAAATAATAAACCAGTGATTCCTTCTTGAGATGGTGTATTAGAGTTCTCTAGAGAGACAGACCAGTGGGATATATGAAAGAGAATTTATTAGGGGGAATTGGCTTTCACAGTCACAGAGATGGCGTAGTCTCATAATAGGCCAGCTGTAAGCTAGAGAACCAAAGAATTCGATAGCCTGGCTTAAAGCCAGGAGTGTAGCACAGTCGAAGTTCAAAGCCTCAGAACCAGGGATACTGACTGCAGCCCCCAGTCCAGGGCCAAAGGCTCAAGAGCCGCCGAGAGGTAGCTGGTGCAGGTCCCACAGTCTAAAAGCTGAAGAATGTGGCTGGTGCAGGTCCCACAGTCTAAAAGCTGAAGAATGTAGAGTCTGAATTCCAAAGGCAGGAGGAGAACATCTGCCTGTTTGTCCTAGCCAGCCCCCAGCTGCCCACATGGTTGGTGCCTGCCCGCATGGAGGGGAGGTCTTCTTTCTGTCCACTGACACTCAAGTCAGTCTTCTCTGGAAACATCCTCACAGACACACCCAGAAACAGTGCTTCACCGGCCATCTAGGTATCCCTCAGTCCAGTCAAATTGATACCTAAAATTAACCGTCTCATATGGGAGATCGTGTTAAGTTTCCCACTTTTACGACTTTTGGTTCAGAAAATGTTAGAAAGAATGACTCAGTAGTTTAAGGATTACATTATTTTTTATTTTTATTTTTGTTTTTATTTTTTGAGACGGAGTCTCGCTGTGTCTTCCAGGCTGGAGTTCAGTGGCGCGATCTCGGCTCACTGCAAGTTCCGCCTCCCGAGTTCACGCCATTCTCCCGCCTCAGCCTCCGAGTAGCTGGGATTACAGGCGCCTGCCACCACGCCCGGCTAGTTTTTTGTAGTTTTAGTAGACACGGGGTTTCACCATGTTAGCCAGGATGGTCTCGATCTCCTGACCTTGTGATCCACCCGCCTCGGCCTCCCAAAGTGCTGAGATTACAGGCTTGAGCCACCGCGCCCGGCCAGGACTACATTATTAATTCACTGAAATTTACCTAAATTTTGGTGCATTCTTATATATTAAACTCATCGCATTATTTAAGATTTTAGATTTATTATTCCCTTTTTTTCCCCCTGCCTTTTATTTGGGGCACTGTTAACTTCCTCATCACCCAAGTAGCAATATCAAAAGTGTCCCTTGGTGATGTGTTTATGATTTAGGGTACTCTTCATGAGCAGAAGATGAAAGAAGCCAATCACCTTGCTGCCATAGAGATCTTTGAGAAAGTCAACGCCTCGCTGCTGCCACAGAATGTTTTAGACCTCCATGGACTGCATGTGGATGAAGCTCTAGAACATTTGATGAGAGTTTTAGAGAAGAAGACTGAAGGTAGGACTGTGGAAATCACAAGTTTTCAATAGAATATATGTCTTTGCTTATATTGGTATAACTTGCAAATTCAGGAGAGTCTGAATATGCAGGCTGAGAAAATCTGTGCAACATTTGTAAATGTTTGTGTTATTCTTCAAGGATTCTCACTGGTATGATGATTAATATTTTCTTCATTTGTATTCCTGTGTTGTATTTATTAGAGGGAGGGCATGGTGTAATCTGTGAATCCTCTCTGTGACTTATAAATGAGACCTTTCAGGAATATTACATATCTTTGTCCAATAGACATTTATTAAACTTAATAGATATTTCTTGGATTTCACTTTTTCAGTAGATGTTTGATAAAATACAGAAGATGTAAATAAGGTAATAGGATACTCCTGCCTCAGTAGTTTTTTTTTTGGTTTCTTTGTTTTTGAGACATAATTCTCCGCTTTGTTCGCCCAAGGCTCGGAGTGCGAGTGGTGCCAGCATTCTTGGGGCTCACTGCATACCTCTTGTCTCGCGGGTTCAAGCCATTCTTGTGGCCTCAGCCTTGCCAACCGTAGCTGCGGTCACAGGCAGGCTGCGCACCATAGTCCAGTTAATTTTTGTATTTTTACTGGAGAGCGGGGTTTTGCCTGTTGGCCAGGCTGGTTGTTTGAACTCCTGCCCTCCAGTGATCCAACCTTCCTTGGCTTTGCAAAGTAAGCCTACTGCGCACCTGGCCTGACCTGAGTAT